CATATTATTATATGATCCCACTTACAGGAGAAGTCCAAAGTAGGCAAATCTATAGAGACAGAAAGATTAGGGGTGGCAGATGTAGGGGACTGGGAGGAAACCTAAAGGGCATGGGTTTTTTCAAGACAATAGAAATGTTTTAGAATCGATTGTGGTGATAGATGCATAATTCTGTGAATGCTAATAGCCACTGAATTATACACTTTAAATGGGTGAATTGTATGATGTGAATTATATGTTAATAAAATCATTTAAAAGAACATGTAGACACAGACAACAGTTAAAATGGGCATTGCTGTGTTCCAATAACATTCTATTTATGAAAACGGGCAAATGACCAATTGGCCATCATTTACTGACCCTTTTATAGAGTAATAAAAACTCTAATTTTTTAGCTGAGCACTGGCTTACCAGAAAATAAAATACTACCTTTTCCATATGTCTTGCAGAGGCTTGTGTGTTACTTTTGGGAACTATCCTTAAATGAAAGAGTTTATGCTTTTCTTTGAAACCCCTAGTCTCTCCTGTTCACTGGAATGGCTACAGCTCTAACAGCCACCTTAGATCATGAAATAACCTTGGAAAATGGACACCACAGATAGTGGAGCAACAAGATATGAGGAGCCTGGAATCCCCATCCCATGAATCACTGTACTAATTCTAAACTGATTTCATCCAGACTTCTTAAAAAAAATTAATTTATGTTACGTTTAAATAAATGTATTTTGGAAATTTCGATTACTTCATGCTCACAGCTGAACATAATTCCAACTATTATGACCCTTAAGAAATTAAAAAAACAGCTATGCCTCCTTGAAGGATCAAGTGGATGCTAAAGGAGGCTCAAATCTATGTCTTTTTTTTTTTTTTTTTTTTGACAGCAATTCATTCTTAACATACTGGCCTTTTAAGCTAAAGTCCTACAACTACTTGAGTCATATTTGTAAGAAAAATGTAAGAGGATATATTCTCTGATTAACCAATCCTGTGTTAACTTAAAAAAATCAGATTTCATATATAAAAGCAGTACTAGATCCCTTATCAGAACAGTTCCAGTGTTTACTAAATCCTTGTAGTTAAGTACAAGCCCCAGGGCTTAGTCCAAGTCCTGACCACTGTGTATACAGAGTCTGTTGTGGGTTTCCCCATGAGTTCAGCAGTGTGCACATTAGCATGTAGCATCCTCTGCTCTGCACAACACAAAAATAACAGGATCATCCAGGTATCCAACTTTCCTTGACAACATTAAAACAATGTCTGAAGAGCTCTAAAAGTGTCACAAACAAGCTCTGAACATCATATTTACATTTGTTCATAAAGATACAGGGCTGCAAAGTCACCATAGCATAACTTCTCCTTAAGAGTGTAAGACATAACACAGACCTAATATTCTCATGACCTTCCCCCCAAAAAAAGGTATCTTTGTGTTGCAGAGTCACACTCCGTCATGGATTGAATGTTTGTGTGCCCCCTGAATTCATGTGTTAAAGCCCTAACCCCCAGTGTGGCTGTATTTAGAAATGGGGCCTCTAAGGAAGTAATTAAGACAAAATGAGGTCATAAGGGTGGGTCCCTGATCTGACAGAATTAGTGTCTTATAAGAAGATACACCAGAAAGTTCTCTATCTCTCTCCCATGCCTCCTCATCTCGAGCATGTACCAAGGAAAGGCCATATGAGGATACTGCAAGAAGGCAGCCAGCTGCAAGCCTGGAATTATGCCCCTCACCAGAAAGAGAATTGGTCAAAACCCTCATTTTGGACTTTGAGCTTCCAGAATGGTGAGAAAATCAGTCTCTGCATGTAAGCCACTCACTCTAAGGTATTTTGGCGTGTCAATAGACTAATACACACTCTAAAAAAAAGAGTATGAAGAAGTTTTTGCTTCAGCATTATTTTCCAATTATCTGATAAAATCTACATTAACATGGCATGGTCATAGCTGGTTTTACACTCTAGACTTGCCTGAAACTTAAACTTGACTCACTCTCACAGGTGACTTTTGGGGTTGTTGGATGCTGCAACTCCTATGACACACAGGGCGATTAAACATGGGTTCCTGGGACTTGGGACTTTTAGTACTAAAGGAGGGAAAGTCCCAGGCACACTGGACAAGGTGGTCACTTTAGATGGGCAATGCATTCTATTCCTCCAGCTACTGCTCCATCTGCAGCCATGGCTTCTCTAATAATCCATACCATACAGATTCTCTCCATACACAAGAGTCAAAAAGGTCTCAGCCCAAATTTCTGTTTTTCATGTGGCCCATATCTGCTGCATGAAACACTCAGGCATCATTTGCCCTGACAAACTATGGCAGTGACTACAGATCCCAACATAGCAACTCTCCTTTATTCCTATGCCAAAATTCTCACTGGCCCATCTCTCCTACCCCTGGGATTTCCCAGATGTGAATCACAATACTACTGTAATTCTCAAACCCAGGGAATACATGTCAAGTTCTCTGGGTATTGCTAAGAAGCCCCCCTCACTAGACTTGAAGGTGAGTGGGGAAGCATAACAATGGCTCTCTCCAAAACTTCTCCTCATAAACTCATTTCGTTCAACATATTCTTTTAACACATGAAACTGATGAAAGATTCTAATAGTGGCCAAACCAGTTCTTGGACTGTGGCTGCCAATACAGGGAGCAAAACTGATCAAGGGCCCCAGATGCTCGCTGCACTCTGAATTCCCCAGCCACATTTTCTTCCATAGGCTGCTCCAGCCGGTGACTGAAAGTAGCATAGACATTAAGGCAGACTGGTTCCTGAAAGGAGGACTCCTCTGACAGGCGATTTTGGGTTGAGGATTTCTAGCAGCCTTTCTAAATCTTGCTTAGACTGTCTGGCAGTCTAGGATGCTTCCACTAGCCTTCCCTCCCTCTCTCCTTCATTCAGTTTCAGACGTGCATCTCTTCCAGACTTGTTTGGCTCCCTCTCATTCTCTCTCACAGGTGTTGCCGCTAATAAAATTGTTGCACATTTAATCCCATCATAACCACTTCTCATCTGAACCAGACTAATGAAAAGACATTTCTTTGGAAAACACGCATCTTATCAGCACCTCATTTTGGTGTTTCATAGTTGTTGCTTTTTAATGCTGCAGGCAGAACTTCCAGTTTATAGTTATGCTACTAACCACAGGATGAATGAATGACAAGGTGAGAGAAACAACCAGGAAAAATAATGAGATTTTACATTTCTTGCTCAATCACTCCATTTTTGTTAAAATATATGTCTAATTTGTATGAGCATCAAGATTAATTTTTAGTAAGAGTTATCACTGTGGGTACTGAATATGTGAGCAGGAACATCATAGATGCTAATGTACCTTTTAGTAGGCAACCAGGCTTGTGCCAGGACTTGGATAAGAAGGCTGTTACATGCTACCCTGAAGTTCCAGAGTAACCCCAATATCACCATCTGACTTTGTTCCTCCATATTTTCTTCTTTCCAAATCCCTTTCCATTTTCCCTTCTATCTTCTTTTTCTTCTTTTGTCACTGCTTTAAAAGTCACTAATAAGCAACAGTGGGAAGCAGAGTATGTGAATAAAGAATGAAGCTTTCTTTTGCAGTCCGAAATAAATTGCTTAAAACTGTACCCCAAAGTAGCCAGAATAAAAATAGATTTTCATACTTGTTCTCCAACATTTCAAGTACCCAAATGCCCCACATCCCTTGTCCCCTGCAACTCAGTTTTAGAGAAGACTTTTAGTTGTAGCACATTCATAGGAAAGTGTGTAAAAAACATCAATTTTCTCTTTTACTTTCCTGTGAGGATTATAGAACCAAAACAAAGTATCAAAAGTTTTGAGAATACCTTTACTCACAAAAACCCAATGCTTTTCTCATCAAACAGGATTTCTCTATGTGATTTGTATCAAGGACTGTCATTTATCAAAATATAACATAGCTTTGCCTTCATTATAACGTCAGTCAATTTAAAAATGTGTTTTACCATAGTCAGTTTGCTTATTTTTCTATTTTAAAAGGGTATTATAGCAGATATGCAAAAGAGAAAGCAGAGAGAAAAAAAAATCACCTACTCTCCAAACACTATCACTGTTAATTGTGATGTATTTCTTGTGACTTTTTTTCTCTACGTGTTTTTACAAAAACATAGCCTTAGTGGCTATTAGCACTTTATTATTTCAGGATTAGTTAATGTAGAAAAAAAGACTGAACAACAGATTGGTTTTCAGTCATACTCTCAAGAAACAGAAGCCAAACAAACACTTGATCTGTTGGAAAGTCCAAGATTATGGTTTTGGCTCTCTGTTAAGCCCAGGTAGAGTATCTGAAGATGGTGAGAGGCCTCCGGTTGTCTTAGTCATGGATTTAAAAGGGTCTAACCGGAGTTAAAATGCTCCCCAGAGCCCAGCAACCATTGACGGCTTTCTCAGGTAACCAGCGCTGCAAGGACGGGGAGAAAGCTGCAAAGGCAAGGGGTCTGAGAACAAGTGAAATCCGAGGTTCAGCCAGGGGACCCAGGCATACAGTTCGGCCATGTGTTCACCATAAAAAGCACAGTGGCTATAGGTTGTGCCCTCTCTGGGCAACAAAGTGCCGAACTTAAAGGGGCTTACCAGGATGCCAAGTGCCAGCGGCTCTGGTTTTACAAAATAAAGTCATCAACCGAGAACGCAGTGTCTGAGTTAGACCAGGTCCACCAAGTACCAGCTATATTCTCTCGGACAAATTTACTTGCCCTCTCCTAGCCTTAGTTTCCTCATATATAAAATGGAAGTGATAAATTTCTGACTGCTGGGATCGTTGTAAGGAAGGGATTAAATGGCTTGCTAATGCGAATGTCCAGCACAATGCCTACCTGACAGGTTAAACGTGTTGGGGTTTGTTGGCAGTAAGACCCACAATCTCTCTCCCCACCCTACTGGCGCCCCGCCACCAGCAGCCCAGCTGTATCCGCTTCCGGGAACCACTTCACCTCGGTCTCCCTCAGCTGAACGCGGATCCCTCCGCGTCGCGTCACTTCCGGGAGACTCTGGCAGCGGCTCTGCGATATATCCGGATGCAACTGTCACGGCTGCTATCAGTGAGGGCCCGGAATGGAGATCGAGTCAAGGGTTGCTCAGGGGCACTTAGAGCCTTTGGTTTCAAGGAGGCCTCTGAAAGGACAAAGGATGAGATTGTCTGGTGGCAGGGTGCACCCAGCAGTCCTAGGAGCTGTATCGCCGCTCTTCCAGTTAACTTGCCGCTACGTTTTTCTGGAAAAGTCACTCTTCTTGGCAGGGTGGGGCCTCACTTCTGACCCAGCCTTTCTTTGTGTACCAAGTTTTTGTTTCCGTCACTTCCCGCAGCCCCGGAGCTCGGCGGGCGATACTGCGGTAGCCTGAGAGGAAGGGGCGGGCCGGATGCTGGAACTGAGAGAGGTGCGGTTCGTCGGGAATCGCGGGTGGCCAAGGCTGGAGTCTCCTAAATGTAAACCTCCAGTTGCCGTACTCTTCGGTGCCTGGTCTCTGGTTATTTCACTCGAGATGCTCCTCACTGTGGAGGCGTTCAGAGTTGGTCATAAGGCTCTTTGCTGACCCAACCACACTCAACTACAGCCTGCCCGTTCCAGATAGCCTTTGATCCTAGAAAATAACTAGGACGGGCATAGTGCAATATGTTATTTATTTTTTTAAAGTCTCAAGCATAAGCAAACTATTATTAAAAGTTTTAGAATTAATACGTAGAGTTCACATATTAGGTCATGTGATTGTTTTAAGGTTTAAATTTAGATAACATGTTAGTACTTGTGAGATTTTAACAAAAGCATTTTAAAAAGTATGAGAAAATAGATTAATCTTTAAAATATTTTTACTTTGCCACTGTGCAGTTGTGACGTGAAGGCACTTCATAATAAGGCTTTAATTACAAGAAGCTTCTGAAAATAAAATTCTGAATATATTAATGTAAGTTTTCCTTTCTGCAGGGTGTCCTATAGGTTTTGTCATGGAGTGAAACAGAAACAAATGTGAGTTAATCATTAACATTTCCTAGTGGTTAAAATTACTTTTTAAGCGCTTAACTGTATTTTTTAGATTGAAGATTTCAATGGAAATCATTTTGATTTGACTGAAATATTTAATATGTGATGAGTTGATATCGAAATACAGATTACTATTTTTATAAGAAACAATAATGTAGAAACTAATATTTAAAGCAGGTTTACTTCACATACTGTATTATAATTTAGATTTTTTCACTTAAACTCTCAAAATCTGAAGAGCTGGCCTAGTAAGGCTTAAACCTCTAAAACTTGAGGCATCTGTACCAGGCTTAATATACATAGTTATAATAGTTTTTAATTTTTACCAAGTTCCTCAGGTGATTCTGATACAGTATTTTAAAGAAAGCAAAAAGAAATTATCTGTTTATACATTTTAAATATTTGGTTCCTTGTTTATGTGTTGAGATTGTGCTTATAAATGCATTCACACACATTGAAGTACCTAATCTGATAGTCAAACGTCAGCCTGGAATCTTGATTTTTGTATGGTTTCTCACAGGTGGGTCTACTGAATTCTTGGCACAGTACCTGGACAAAACGTTGTTAAGGCAGAAGTTTTTATTGTATTTATCACTTCAAACATTTGACCAGTTTATTTAGTTTTGTAGTGCTTCAGACAAATAACTATATGTGGGCTTCACTTAGTCTATAATAAATGTAAAATTTGACCTCAAATAGTTGACGTTTATGGAGTACTTACAATATGCCAATCTTTGTGATAAGTCCTAGACATATATTATCTTATTTAATACTTACAGCAGTACTCTGAGTTAGGTTTGTTAAATCTCTATTTTAATAGATGGAGAAACTGAGGCAAAAACGGATTAAGTTCCTTGCTCATGGTCACAAAACTAGAGCCATCTTCTTAACCTACTTATTTTGTGTGACATCTCTTTTCCTCCATGTAACTGAACACTGGTAGAAGAGTGAATATGAAAAACAGACCTGAGCTTATCTTACCTATCCAGCTTTGTGAATTAGGGCAAGTCATGTGACCACTCTGAATTTCATTTTCCTCACCTATAATAAATGAAAACTTTGAATTGTTATATTTTATTGAATCTTGAATCATCAAAAATCCTTAAGGCTGGGTGTGGTGCCTCATGCCTGTAATTGCACTACTTTGGGAGGTCCAGATGGGAGTATTGCTTGAGGCCAGGAGGTCAAGACCAGCCTGGTCACTCAAGATAGCAGTATCTGACCTTGTGATCTGCCTACCTTGGCCTTCCAAAGTGCTGGGATTACAGGTGTGAGCCACCGTGCCCAGCCTAACAGGTTTATTTTTAAACTGGCCAAAGTATAGGAACATTGTTTAATTTTTAGAGATCTTCATTGTAACGAAAGTTCAAAAATGTTATTTTATAGCTTATTTAATTTTTATGAGTATTCTGGAGGTGATTAGGCATCCCAGTAGACAAATATTATTGACGATTTCTGAGTTATGAATAATAAAAATAAACTACAATTGAAAGATGTATTGAAATTATGTCAATGGGCAGAAAAGTGTTCAAGTTGTGGGGTGGCAAGTGTAAGAATAATGTAACTGGAGAAATTATCCCAACCATAATTATAGTTGTCTGATAGTCTGTACTTTCAGTTAGAACCAGGAAGATAGCACAGGAATAATTACAGAGTTGTAGACTGTTCTCTGTAGATAATCAGCTGAGTGTTGAGCTGTGGCCAGAGAAACCAGTGTGTGAGGTATCATCAGGAAGGGATTTGGGAAAATTCACAAAATATCTTACCCTCAAGTAACAGTGTTTTATCTAAACATGAGGTACAGGAAATTATTTTATATTCATAATTCAGATGTTAAAAATCCTTTCAATTATTAAGTGTGATTATGGCTATAATTTTACTTACATAATTCTGTAAAGAATATATGCCTTTATATTTAATTTTTAAAGACCAAGTAGAGGAGTAAAGACATTTACATAATTACAAAAATTCCTGCCTCTAAAATAAAACTCTTTACCACATGACAACACTTCACTACAGCACTTCACTACTAGCCATGAACATCTTGGAATTTTCACTGTCAATTTCCTTTTCTCAGGGCCCTTTTTTTACAGAAAACACAAAGTTTTTATTCTTTAGTTATGCCTGTGCAGTAATGAGGAGGGAATAGTATTCACTCTGTTAGTGCTTATTTCCTTGCACAGACTTTGTAATGTATACTGAGTTCCCTAAACCCAAAGGAGAATAAGGCCAAGAGCTTATAAGAAATTATTTTATGAGTCCAAAAAAAGTAATTCATTTTGTGAAGTTTTCACAGAAGTTTATGCTTATTAATCAAAGACCTTCAAGTTTGAAGAACTGAAGGAGAAGTGATATCATTAAATTTGAAGAAAATATGTTCTTTAAATAATGTTGTAAGTATCTAAGGATTGCTCTGTACTATCCTGAAAATTGTATTTCTTTAAAATTTTTATTATTTTCATACCTTTTTTCTCCATCTTTCTGTTTCACTCTAAATGAATAACAGTAAACCTCCCACCCCAACCAATGTGAATTCACCTAGGCTGAAATCCTAAGATATATTCACTTTGTTTTCCCTACTTTTTCTACATGTTCAAGAATTTATATCAAATACAGATGAATTTGAAAATTTGACATTTGGAGATCATCTCAGCGACTCAAAAGATGAATTTATAAGCATCTCATTTAAGCTCTAGGGTAAATCAATTTTTTAAAAAGTTTTTAAAGAACAAGGAATACAAGGCCGGGCACAGTGGCTCATGCCTGTAATCCTAGCACTTTGGGAGGCCAAGGTGGGCGGATCACCTGAGGTCAGGAGTTCAAGACCAGCCTGGCCATCATGGTGAAACCGCATCTTTATTTAACAAAAAAAGAAGAAGAAGAAGAACAAGGAATACAAATGGGTTTTGCTAATTTAAGACTTCATCGTTTTTTGTTTAATGTATTGGGTAAAGGATTTTCCAAGTTCACTAACAACTTTATTCTCCAAATTCTGAGTTTTTCTTTTTAGGTGCCAACCACTACTTCTTCTAATAGGGAGTATTTAGAAGTGTTATCCTACGAGTTGGTGAAAAAAAAATCACATCTCCTTTCTAATCATTATTGGAAAATCATTCTTTTGTTTGTTTGCTTGTTTTTTGAGGCCCAGTCTCACTCTGTCGTTAAGGGCTGGAGTGCAGTGGCGCAATCTGGGCTCACTGCAACCTCCACCTCCTAGGTTCAAGTGATTCTCCTGCCTCAGCCTCCCAAGTAGCAGGAATTACAGGCGTCTGCCACCACACCTGGCTAATTTTTGTACTTTTTCAGTAGGGACAGGGTTTCACCATGTTGACCAGGCTGGCCTCAAATTCCTGACTTCAAGTGATCTGCCTGCCTTGGCCTCCCAAAGTGCTGGGATTACAGGTATGAACCACTGAGCCCAGCTGGAAAAATCATTCTTTATAGTCAAAGCTAAATGCTTCATGGACCATCTTCATAGGAGAGGATTCTTTTTATGCTCTGCTCCCTGATTTGATGGCTGTGAGAGCTCTCATTTAACTAATAACATTTATGAAGTACCTGCACAGCATTAAGAGATAGGCATGAAAAGATGATTGCATCTTGCCTCACCCCTGGAGGTACCTATGGGAGAGTGACATCTAAATGTGTACATGTGGCCAGGTGTGTTAGCTCATGCCTATAATCTTAGCACTTTGTGAGGTCGAGACAGGAGGATCACTTGAGGCCAGGAGTTCAAGACCACTGTGGGCAACATAGGGACCCTATCTCTACAAAAAAAAAAAAAAAAAAAAAAAAAAAAAAAAAAATTAGCCAGATGTGGTGGTTTGCACCTGTGGTCCTGGCTATTTGGGAGGCTGAGGTGGGAACATCGCTTTGAGCTTAAGAGGTTGACGATTCATTCTAATGGCTGTTTCTTTTGCTGTGCAGAAGCTGTGGAGTTTGATTAGGTCCCATTTGTCTATTTTGGCTTTTGTTGGCAATGCTTTTGGTGTTTTGGTCATGAAGTCCTTGCCTACGCCTATGTCCTGAATGGTATTGCTAGATTTTCTTCTAGGGTTTTTATGGTGTTAGGTCTTATGTTTAAGTCTTTAATCCATCTGGAGTTAATTTTAGTGTAAGGTGTCAGGAAGGGGTCCAGTTTCTGCTTTCGGCACATGTCTAGACAGTTTTCCCAACACCATTTATTAAACACGGAATCCTTTCCCCATTGCTTGTTTTTGTCAGGTTTGTCAAAGATCAGATGGTTGTAGATGTGTTGTGTTGCCTCCGAGGCCTCTGTTCTGTTCCATTGGTCTATATCTCTGTTTTGGTACCAGTACCATGCTGTTTTGATTACTATAGCCTTGTAGTACAGTTTGAAGTCCAGTAGTGTGATGCTGCCTCCCACTTTGTTCTTTTTGCTTAGAATTGACTTGGCTATGTGGGCTCTTTTTTGGTTCCATATGAAGTTTAAGGTGTTTTTTTCAATTTCTGTGAAGAAGGTCATTTGTAGCTTGATGGGGATAGTGTTGAATCTGTAAATTACTTTGGGCAGTATGGCCATTTTCATGATGTTGATTCTTCCTAACCATGAACATGGAACGTTTCTCCATCTGTTTGTATCCTCTCTTATTTCGTTGAGCAGTGGCTTGTAGTTCTCCTTGTAGAGGTCCTTTATTTCCTTGTTAGTTGTATTCCTAGGTATTTTATTCTCTTTGTGGCAGTTGTCAATGGCAGTTCATTCTTGATTTGGCTCTCTTTAAGTCTGTTATTGGTGTATAGGAATTCTTGTGATTTTTGCACATTGATTTTGTATCCTGAGACTTTGCTGAAGTTGTTTATCAGTTTCAGGAGATTTTGGGCTGAGATGATGGGGTCTTCTAGATATACAATCATGTCATCTGCAAATAGAGGCAATTTGACTTCCTCCTTTCCTATTTGAATACCATTTATTTCTTTTTCTTGCCTGATTGCTCTGGCTAGAACTTACAGTACTATATTGAATA